TAGCAAAGAAAATTTGTAGCATTCCCAGATAATTCGAATATTTTGTCAGAAATATTATCTCTAATATAGAAACATAAATTTTTAGTTTTCCTAAAAAAGAGAAAAGAAAATGGAGTATTTTATCAAAAATTTTAAAAGACGATACAAAGTTAATTTAGTGTAAAAATATAAATTTGTAATATTTCTAAAGAAAGAAAGAAATTAGAATATTCTATCCAAAATTGAAATATTTGAAAGATTGCAATATTATGTAGTCAAAAATTTGCAAAGTCTATAAGGGGTAAATTCCGAGATTAACGTCTTTAAATACCAACGCGCTAACAAAAATTCGTGTCTCGAAATACGCGATAATTTGGTGGTTGAAAAAGATCGTACAATGTATCGTACGAAGGCCGGGGTATAGCAGGAATCGTGAAAATTCGAATTATTCGAAAGTATCCGAATTTACAGGCGCGAGTGGCGAGAATGCCGAAATCCGATCGATTATGCGCCAGCTTATTCCGAATTTCTGATAACTATTTGCGGTAACGAGCCGTGCCACGGTGACCGAACGATTTTCACGATTAGCCGAATTTAACGCTTTAAACGTCAAACGAGCGTGGAGCACGCGGCTGTCCAAAGTGCTCGACGTTCGCGCATCGGCGAAATTCGCGGCGGTGCGTCCGCAGGTTGGCCCATAACGCGTCATCAACGCGTTATTTACCGAAAGATCGACCCCACGCACACGAGTTCCCACGTAAATCCTCCACCCTTATCCCCTGTTTCAGTGTTCGAAATGTGACGTGCATCGACGTGTTAATCCCTCTTCTGTGACCCGTGAGGATAACACCCTGACACCTCGATTAACACGATCTTTCTCGTTTGCAGTTTTCATACCATGTGTCTTCTTTCCACTAACAGAGTTAACGGTTAAGATCATTCTTATGGAGCTTCTTTCTCTCTGCATGGAAACGCGTGTGTCGATTATCTCTTTGCTCTCGAGGACGCGAGGCTTTCAAAGATGAATCCTCGACGAGAAAGGAGCTCCCGATGGTGAGTCGCGAGGGGGTTGAATCTTGAAGGATTTTGCGTTTCCAATGAGATCGGTCCAACATTGGATAACGAATAATTTATGTTTACATACGTGAAATTGATTCCCGTGTAATGTAATTAACCCTTTGCGGTCGTGTTAAATTTAGACTTGGATGTCATACTGATTGGAATTAATTTCCTTTGAGACAGCAGTGATATATAACATGCAAGATTACTAAGGGTAAACAAGATTTATTAATTCTTTTGTGAACTTTAGATATATGTGTACACATTAATGGAATGTTTTATATTTTGAAAATTATATTTTATAGTTCTCCATCGTAACGAGAATCATTAACGAGATAGTCGAGTCGAGTTACTTTTCTCTTATTATAATTTATTTATTTATTTATTTATTAACCTTTTGCACCCCTTGAGCGTGATTCGACATCAGTTTTCATCAGTTACACTCGATGTTTTTTAATTCTTTATTTATCGAACAAGAAAACAGGAAATAAATAACTATTTGAATTATTTAAATTCGAAGTATAAATTACAACAATGTTTGAGAGGTATATTTAACATAATCGGTAAACAAAATTCTTAAAAATAGGTAGCAGTCGAGGAACTGTCTTGTGAAATAGATTTTCAATAAAATATTTGATATAGTAGGGGGAATTATTGGCAACAAAATTGAAAAATAATTTGGAGTGCAAAGGGTTAAAGTTGCATTTATTTTTCGGTTATTAATGACCAAATACGTTACAGAATTTACGTAGAATAATTTCTGAATTATATTATTATTACTTTATTCATTAACTGATGTTAGTCCATTTGCATCAAATTTCACGTATAAAAGAAAAGCAGATTATACGTAATATAAAAATATACATAATAAAAATATTTGTTACAAATTATACATAATAGAAAAGTAAATTACACATAATATAACACCGAAGCGTTTATGTGCTTATAAACGCATTGTTCAGGAGGAATAGCTTCAATCAATAATCATCATTAATTGTCTTTTGAAAATTTGTAAAGACCCATAAAAATAATCTATACGATTATAAAAAGTATTTGAGTTTTACATATTTATTATATATTTATTATTGGTATATTTACCCTAACAAAGTATCCCAACATAGAAGAGTTAAAATGTTAAAATAAATAATCTAATTTCTGAATTTCACAAAATTTCACGAGACCACGAAGAATAGCAAAATTGTTCTATTTATTCGATGCAAGTTGATTCCCATAAGCGTAGTTTTAGACTCGCTGATCAGAATTTCACGAAAGCAAAATCCTTTAATTCGTCGAACGAAAATTTGCTCGCGAAAATGGAGCTTTCACAGGCACACACACTGTGATTGGAATTTCGCGGAGTCTCGCGAAATCCTTCGACTCACCCCCGTCACGACCATCGAACTTCGTCGAAGCGTTGCAGAGGGAAGAATCCTGCGGGACCACCGCAGGGTCCTAACGAAGCCCGCGCGACCTGCTCGTAGCCACGGGACGACAGTTGTTTAATTCGGGCCGTATGACGAATGTATCAGCTGCGCTTGGAAAAAGCGGCAGCAATTTCCGCGATAGAAAGTCCGAATTCGGGCGAACGAAAGACAATTAAAAAGCAACGAGCAGCCATGGCCAAGCGTGGATATATTTTATGTCGTCGCTCGGTTATTCCTGGCTCGTGTGGAAATTGCAATTTTCCCGCTCGGATTACGCTTCGAATCAGGCCACGGCCACTCTCTCTCTCTTTCTCTTTCGTTCAGCTTTCCTCGCTTTTAATCGCGTAACCGGTTGCACCACGGAAATCGCCATAATTGATTCGAGAGCTCCTCTAGTTTTTCCTGTTTCCTTTTTTTTTCTCATTTTTCCTGTTCAATGTAGGATGAAATGGACATCTCGGTCGACAGTCGAGTCGTTTGACGTAATTTTTCACCTGGTCCAGGTCTACTTGATGATCGATCGTGAAACGGGGGTGGCCCAGATTTTTCATTTCAGTTTCAACTATGCCGGTTCTGGGACACAGGATTGTGATTGCTCCAAGTTTTCCTTGAATATTTATAACGAAATTTCGGGTACCGTGGGAATGAAGTTTGGGGATTAACGGGGTGAAAGATAGGGAGGGGGGTTGTTTGATGTCGTAATCGTTAGGTATTAACTGTTTCACTGGGGAAACGTAGACTAAATTGTTGGTAGATAAATTGATCGTGTTGGATATTAATGCTCGTTTAATGTATTATAATTTGATTTGGTTAATGACTAATAATTAATACCATGTAGTGTTTCGTTGATCGACTAAAGTTACTATAGAGGGAATTAAAGGGTTTATGTACCATTTCCGAGCATTCGCTGTATTGCGTCCAATGTGTTTGATTAATTATTTTGATTTGTGATTTAATTAATTCGTCCATTTTTATTTTATTCCTTTTGATTGAGTTGGTTATTAACTGTTGCAAATGTATCGGGTTAATGATTGTTCAATATATGTTCGTTTTTAAAAGTCGATATCAGAAGGGGAAGGATTAATACTCCATTTCGAAATATTCGAGATTAATAGCGATGAAAAATTAAATTCTGTAGTATTCTGTAAAATTCAAAATCCGTTATTTATTTTTCATATTACGTTATCACGTGTATTAATAAAATAACATACCTTTTCTTCGAAATTTCATGCGCATGTCAAAGATTAGTAGAGTGAGATTCAACTATATTTATATAAAACTTCCTTTTTTTATTTATTTTATATATTAATATTTTACAAAGTTTGCATTTACAAAGTTTGATGGTATAATTTGGGCTACCCTGCGATGATATACTTCAAATTTATGAACACTAGACTAGAAAGTTTGCATTAAAAATCACGAGGACCAGGTGGAAACTTAGAATATTTATTTCGTTAAATTTCATTAATTTAAAAGTATTAAAATTCCTAGAAAAATTGTTTGAATTAAATATTATTCTCTGAGTCGCTGTATCCGTTGACAAATTATTTTGCAATCAATTGCAAATAGTTAATATCACCAAAATTAACGAAAAATGCGAAACATAATATACGCAGAAATATAATACATATTCGAAACGAATAAACGAAAGAGAGAGCTTCATTTACAATCGTATCAGTTTAATGATCGATAACGAATTATATCGTCCGATTAAAATCCATTTGCAATGCTTTTTTAGCGAAACAGGATTATTCTCTTTGCAACGCGTGCGACGGGGTGAAAACGTGTATATAACAGGGGTTGAAATGAATTTGATTTTAGTTACATTACTAATGCGGGTGGTGATTCTCCGTAAAAAAAGAATAAAAACAGAATAAAAAGGAATATAATCCAATCTTCCTTTACGGGACATTCGTAGAATGTGTCTAATTATCCCAGAAATTTTTCTGCGATTAATCTTTTCAAGCTTCCTTTTATTTTCGTAAATAAACTATACAAGTCCCTCAGAAAATAGAGAAAAGGATGTAAATAACCATTAACCGTTTTATTTTATCAATTAATATTCGCGTAACCATAAATGCAAAAGCTTCCCATTTTTGCGAATACTTAAACAGATTCTCTTCTCGATTATCTATTATCAAATCTACGAACGGTACTTCAGTTTTGTCTGATTAAACAATTAGAATTATTTACTGAAATTATTTCATAAAAATTGACGCAATTCTCAGAATCAGACGATACACGTAATATTTTTTAAAAACCAAGTCCCAAATATCAAGAACGATTATTTCAAGCATCTTCAGTTCCTTCTTTCACGAAGAATCATCCCCTAAATCACAGGACACCGTTTGCATAAATAACACTGGTTCACTGGTAACTTTCATCGAGGCGTTTCAACCTCTGGTACAAGAAGCGTGTGCTGTGTGTTGTCGATTGCATTACTCTTTACCGGCATGCAAGCGATCGGTGAAGACTTTTATTTTTCAAAATAAAAGTGCTGAGCACATATGATGACAGTGTTTCGGGTGTCTGTTGCAGTACGGCAGTCCCGGCTCGGGGTGGCGACATCTTAACGCGAAGTGGCGTTCGCCTAGGTATTATTTGTACATATATTATATATTTATTTACCATATGTTATACGTACATTTTATATGTATATATATACATATACATAAAGAAGAAAAAACATCACGTACTATCACGCATCGTTCGCGGCGTTCGCTCAGATGATTAATTCGCATCGTGTAACTCGTGTAACAAGAATCGACAAGCGGACGTTCTTGACGAAGCTTCTTTTTTTCCATTTTATGTATTAATATTATGCCTCTGTCAATATGTGTCGAAGAATAAACGTTGTCGTTCTCCGGCGTTTGTTTCAATTCCAATCGCAGCGCAGCCATCTATGGCACTCGTTCCATTTAAATTCGTCCAACAAACGATCGGGGATAACAATTAAGAGTTTCTTGTTTTTTCTTTTTTCTCCATCTCTGTCTTCCATTTTCTTTTTATCTCTCTTTCTCTATTTTTTTTTTTAATAATGATTCGGCTTTACGTGTCGATTCTATGCCTCGTTGGAGGCACAGCACGTTCGCGCTGTACATACCGTTCGTTTTGCATGAGTATCTGTACTTTGGCGCAAATTAAACCGCAAATAAACCGTTCTGGCATACACTATGTCGTCCCCCCTTTTGTTTACCTCGATCATGCACGATCTCACCAGCGATAATTCTCTGTGGCAATGCGACCAGCGGGTACGAACTTCAACCCTTGAATCCGTTTCCACGATCTTCTGTATCGGCTGAGTTATGGCTGTCTGACCTCTTATCTTTACTTGCGTTTAATAGTGGATATACAGTGAGTAATTTTAGCGCGGTAACTGGGTAATTTGTCAAATTGTAATTATGCTCGCGGTGAGGAAAGAGAAAAATGTCCCGTTGTATGCTGAATCGCTGTGTGGGGCTTGGGTTAGGATACATGCAAACGTGTATGTATAATTTACTATGCTCGTGCGTTATTTATTTCGGTTAATTTTATTTTCCGAATTTTTATAATTTCCGAATTAGATGTTGGAAACTTAGGAAATGAGATATGCAAACGTTCGGATATATTGTAATTTAGTTTTCCAAATATTTTTCTTCGATATTACTTTGTTTTTATTATTATCGTTGTTATAGTTGATTTTTTCTTTTTCTTTTTTTTTTGTGAGTTATCCAAGTTTTTTTTCATCTGCTGGTATAGTTAGTTTTATGTAGGATTTATATAAGTTTGGAGATTGAGGTGTATGTACATGATAATAAACGTGTTTGGGTACAGGAGTGTTGTTAAGTTGATGGGGTAACTTGTAGACAAAGTAAGTATGATATCAGTAGTAAGTATAATATACAGTAATATATATTAATTTAGGAATGAGTCTCCCTGAGATTTTTAAGGGTACGTGTTTCAAATTCAATTGATCAAATATTCCTGTAAATTTGATCCAATTTATTCTACCCTCGCACAAAATATTTTAATGGCAAAAGATTCTATAGGTACAGCCCTGAGAGGAATATTCAGAGAATCACATTACCAGATATTACGAAATAAAACGTAGCTTCTTTTTCGATATTTATAATACATAATAATTTCCAAAAAATAGTAAATATAAAATCATAAATATCCATTACCCAACAAAAATCTAATTCTCTGAAGATAAAGTAGAACTCTAGACCTTAACTCGTTTCTTAATATTTTATTAATTAATTTAAGGTATTTGATAAACAATTTTATTAAAATGCAGTAGAATTCTATCAAATTTTAATTAATCCCCGATTAATCGAACTCGCCAAGTCGCGAACTACTATCGCCTGGACCAAACATCGTACATAACCTAGAAAATCACTGAACTTCCATTATCCCCAAACTGTTTCTCCTCTAACGATTTCATATAAATGGAATTCTGCTGTACACGTTCCTGTAATTTCCTTTGAATTTTCCAACTTGCCGGGTTTGCAGTCGGACACTTACATCCACCTTTGTCTCTACCCCAGTTTAAGGGTTGAAGCTACTATCCGCTGGCTATGTACAGTAGGCAGCTCGGAAGAAGTCACTCGTGATTGGCTGCCAATCACTGGGCAGAGATAGACACGCACGAACTTTCTCAAGTCCTTGATTAGCAATAACGAGTATTACCCACATCAGATCTCTATGCCATAATTACCTTTGATAAGCTACGCCTACCTTGAGCGACATGTCTCATGACGAGCGATGAGTTTGGTTATTGGAATTGCTTCAAGCAAACACTTAGGACGTAGAATCACATACAGAACAAAAATTTGAACTTGTACGAATGATCAAACCCACTGCTTATCATGGGACCTTCTTATCCCTAAATAAGTTCCACTTCATAGAGAAGCCTTACGCTGTCAGAAGCAAAGTAGCGTGCATATATCAACAAATAAGTTTACAGCGAAATATTTTAGAATTTTCTGCAGCAATTGCATGGTAAAGTTCAGTATTAAAGTTAAATAATCTACATAACCATGTTTGGATAAAAACAAGTCGTAGGCCAAGTGGCTAACCAGTTAGATACTCCGCTAACTCGAAACAATAGACGTAGACTCTTATCGAAGAGAGACAGTATAACCGGGTGACTTCTTCCGAGCTCCCTATGGTACCTACGATGATTAGATGAAAGTTCATTGGCGATAGCGAGGAGAATATTTTTCCTCGCTTGTCCAGGTGTATATCAGCCCTCGCGAGAGTCCGTTTTATCGGCGTGCGTGCTCCCAAGTTTGCCCGGTCGATTTCGAGATTGCAGCGTGCTGGCAACGAGTAGTTAACTACATGCAGCTTGTATCGCGGCACCGAGATACCACTCGGGGCGTCGGGAGGGGGCACGTGTTACTCCATATAATAGCACGCTTAAACCTATCCACCGTGACTTTTTTAAAGCCGTTCGCTCTGATACACGTTTTCCGGCAGTAATCGGAGGAGAGCTCGCGAAACGCGTCGCGACTGCTAATGAGCTTGGCCGCCGCTCGTGGCGCTGCGGTCGCGATCCCGGTTCTATCGTTGGAAACCCGGCCCTAGGGATGTGTATATAATGGCCGCTGGAAGCGAGTCGACCAATCCGTGACTGTTTGAAAAAGCTCGCGAGTATCTAGCCGCGGGTTAAACAGGATTTTGGTTACGCGAATTATACAAAAACGTGTAACCGTAGTTTGGCATGTTTTTGGAACGGTGCTTCGGGGCTTTCCCTTTTCGAACGGTCCTGCGGTTTTCCGCGAATGCTTGATCGTGTCGAGGATTCTTTTTCGGCAGTCTGGTTTGTTTTTTTCCGATCGGTATCGCGGATCTGAGGATTTTTACCTCCTGTTTTCGGCTCTCCGATGATTTTTCGAAGCTTTGGAATTGTCGTTAATCGGGAAAAAGTAGAGTTATGGAAACTACGGGGACTCTTGAAAATATGGGTCGCAAAAGTTGGTGAATTTCGAGTATGAATGTGTGCATAGATTTCTAGAAGTCTGGAATAAATAATTAATTACTCGAGAAATAATTGAGAAATTATAAAAAATACGTGGGAATTTTAAAATATCGCTATTTTAATTTCTATAATCCTTTTTTTCTAGTTAATTCTTCGAGGATGATGTTTGTGTACTGTACAGGTTCTCGCGACGTCAGACTTTGTTTAGAAAAATGTTTGGATATTATTTATGATAGATGAAGACATTGTCAAATAATTTTGCAAATTAAATATCTTGTCAAATTAAATACGCAAACGTTGATTTAATCTGTATTCACCCCAAAAACCTATATTTTGCAGAATATTTTCTGTCATGGGAGGAAAGAAATTGGGTTAATGGTTATAATCGTTGAGAAAAATTGTAAACTTAAAAATCCCCAGTTTCTATAGCTGTAAGACTCAACTTTCCAATTCGTGGACAGTTCAGGAGCTTCGAAACTCTGCTTATATTTGATAAAATCTTCAGAGCCCAGATATCCGAGGAATCCGAAACACCATCAAGCTCGAGTAAAATTTACTTTCTCCTTGGCCGTTTATTAAATTATTCCATCACTCGATTCTTACTTTCCGAAGTAACGAAGCAGTCCAGCCTTTCCTCGAGATGCAAGTCCAACCCTCCTAACGTTACCAAGATTTACCTGAACAATTACCTCGCCAAAGCCTCCGAGGACTCGCAACAAACGACAGATTAACGTCTCGAAGCATTCTCGAGCTTTCCGTTGATTAAACTCCGGCGCTGTTTATTGCCATAAAAATTCCGGCCAACCGTAAAGATATTTCAACGAGCGAATTAGCAAAAATTTGCATGCGGGTAACGTATGTCGGCCATGACATGGGAGCACGACATTTGCAGTTCTTCGATACTCCGGTCATTCGCGAAAATATTTGCAGTCGCTCGCGAAAGTATTTAAACGCTTCCAAAATTTGTCACAAAAGAAACACGCAAACTGGACTCGAATTTCTGAAATAATACTGCACTATGAAATAATACTGCACTAAAGCAAGATATAGATAAAGATATGCAGACAAGTCTGATAGACGCGTGGGTAAAATAATTTAAAAAATGCGAGGAAAAATTAATATTAAATTAAAACAAAAATAACGAATGCATTCGAACACTTTTGTTGTCCTCGCGAAAGATAGTCTATATTTAATACTCCACAAATTTCCAAATTATTTTCCCTAATTTTACGCACGAAATCCGATCACTCGTATTTTATTTTCTAAATTCGAGTCTGGCGTTGAACAAGGTTTCGTTTGTTGAAAATCCATCATTGGGATTGTTCGAATACTTTCTCGATCGAGCGAAATCCCATCGACCCTTTGAATTAAGAAATCGCACTTTGCATGATACTTTTCTGTCGCTACACGATTTTTCATTTTTGTTCGACACTCTATCCTTGTGGCACTGACACTATTTTTGAATGTACCTTCCAACGTAGGCGTAGATGGAAACTGACTCTCTCTGTTTCACCGCGCCTCTCTGTTTAACGCACATCTCTGTGTGCCGCACCCTAGAGTAGTTTCCACATACACACACACATACGCACACACATTGTGATTAAACAATAATTAAAATGTTAATCCGAGTAT